TGATAAGAGAATGTTGCGTTGATCACTCATTGCATCGTCGACACAACGTTCATGAATTGTTGTGACTGAAAAGCTGTTGGGCAAACAAAACAAATGCCGCTTTGTTTATCAAGTTTGCCCCAAAACATTTATTTCTGAGCCGATAATTTTTGCAGATAAATGGCTCCACCACAGTCAATAACAGTGAAACGAAATAGCAGTAACAACGAGGAACGATCAGAAAATGATGCCGAGAAACGATTCAATCATAACACTTTGATCGTATTCATAAATGGAGAACGATTTGAAGAGACACAGCTCGATCCAAGGACGACACTGGCTGTTTTTTTACGTGACCATAGTAAATGTTTTGTTATGTCATCGAACATTATTTCAACGCAATCCACAGACCAAAAAAATGCTTCTGAAATCGCATAGTCAAGATAGTTTGGGTGAAGGTGAAGCGTAGAACGAATGACCGACACAAAATGATCACAAGAGAAATGCGAAGATTTTACAATCATTATTTGACGTTACAATGAAGCTCCATTTCAAAATTTAGTCTTTTAGCTGATGAAAAAATGAAAGACTCTATGAAGAGATGTTTTCAGAGCGATTGACTGGCACAAAAATTGGTTGTAACGAAGGTGGCTGTGGAGCATGCACTGTAATGATTTCCGATGTTGATCCTTTGGATGGAAAAATTCGGTAGGTTTGCAAATGCGATGCCTGAGTTGATAGGAGTGTCATTTTTGGATTGTACTCGATCATGAAAGTTCTTAAATCAAATATCCGCAGATGCATCAAATTGAACCTCGCAACTAGAAACACTACACTGAGTTTTCATAATCATCGCCAGTATAACTATGCACAACGCTATATGACCAGAATCTCCACCCATTAAGTTTCATACTGAGTTTTATTACTAACTATGGTCTAAATAAAACACGATTCAGTCACTATTCGGCAAATGCATGTCTCACTCCAGTGTGTGCGGTGTTCGGTAAAGCTGTCACTACGGTTGAAGGAATTGGCAACACCTCATTGCTTCATCCAGTTCAAGAACGACTTGCCAAGTAATCGCTTTCCATCTGAAACTATTCGTGATATCCAATGAAATACTCATCCGAAATGATGAAACGCAAAGAAGTTGAGAACAATTCTTCCGAAGTCACCATATTTACTAATGAAAATCTTTGGCGTTATTCGGAGCGCTTTTCTCAAAGAGCGTTGAATTTCCAAGTGTTATTATGACTATTATCTTGCACTTATAGAGCTCATGGTTCACAGTGTGGATTTTGCACACCCGGTTTCATTATGGCCATGTACACGCTTCTCAGAAACAACAGCCATCCAACAATAGCCGAAATTGATGAGGCGATACAAGGTGATTTGTTGAATAATATCCACAACAATTACATAACCTCATGAAAGTTGAGAGCTAAAAAGATATTCCGTGATTCTCACAAAAGACATCTGAAACCAGTCGCTTTCATGCTACTTTTCGTCATCGAAGAAGATTCAGCTTTGTGCAATGTACTAACTCACTGTGCTGATTCCATGTTTCACATTTCTTTCAGGAAACTTGTGCCGTTGTACTGGATATCGACCAATCCTGGAAGCTTTCTACTCGTTTTCAGTGACAGAAGATAATATCATCAAAAAATCCGACCAGGCAGAGTCATTCTGCAGTTTGGGGGAACAGTGTTGTAGGAATAAATCAAAAATTAATGTCTGTGGCCGCAATGAGGTATGCGATTGTTTGTATTTGTGTTGTCAATAACCTGCTGGAGATAATTCCAAAGTGATTATCAAGACTTTATTATCAAGACTTCCAAACTGACTTTATTCAATTTGCTTCCCTAAAAATGCCCTTTTACGAATAGTGATACCTTCATTCACTTCTAATAAATGAAACTTACTTGGAGAATTCGAATACCGTATTCTGAAGGAGTGCTGTTGATTGTCCGACATGAATGCTTCATCATGGCATCTTTTTGGTTTTTTAATTGGGAAGAATATTTCAGCTTCAAATCCTAATCGCTACGTATGGCTGAAACAAGCAGTTTATGTCTACGGACGTTCGTAGAGAGTGAACAGATTGTTTAAGTGTAACGATAATTTCAGATTAAGAAGCTATCAAATTTTGACGACTGTAAGCAATACGATCCGTCACAACAAATCATATTCCCACCTGAACTAAAGGTAGCTAACTCGCCTCCATTCGAAGTCAATAACAATTCTGATTGAAAATTCACCGAAGTAATTGTTCGTTGTAACAGTTTTTGAGACTGTAAATGAACTCGTTAACAAATTTCAATTTTTACATTGCTTTACGTGTTAAATTACTGAGGTTCATATCCTTTATGCAATTGATACGTTATTATTTGAACTGTCCCCTCNAAAATTTCAGGTGGAAAGATACGAACAACGTTCATTCGAATTACATCACAACGAATTGCACTGGTATCAGCCGTCTAGTTTAACACATGCGTTATTCCTCAAGAAGCAACTAGCAAACTCTCGTATCATAGCTGGTAACACTGAAGTGGGTGTTGAGATGAAATTTCGTTTTATCGAAATAAAACACGCGATCAATTTGAAACAGGTATCGGCCATTCAAAATACGCTATTTCTTAAGTAATCTACCCGTTGCTCGCTTGCCTTCCATAGATAAATGTAACGAATGAGAATGAAATCTTTTCTGATGTAAAAATTAAATGATTTTGTTGTTGCTTCGAGGCAAACATTTAGAAATTGTTTATTCTAATGTTCAAGCAAAAGAATTGCTAAAGTGTTACGTTTCAGATACCTGAGCTTCATCAAGTTGTTGTTCATGATACCAACGGTGTATATCTTGGATCAGCATTGAGTCTTTCGGAAGTAGATAGAATACTAAAGAAGTTGATCGATGAGCTACCCGGTGGGTTAATTTAAACGAAGCTACTAAAATAAACTTATGCTGAAGTAGTAATCTACTCGAAAAAAGATTTCATCTAATCACCTGTGTAAGTGTGATTAATTTGAATCGGATTGATCT